GAACCACAAAACAGAGCAAACAATTAAACAGAGGGAAAAAGGAGGAACCAACAGCAGGAAAATAACATGACAAAGATAAGCCAATACATATCAGTTCTAACAATTAATTTAACCTGCCTCAGGGGGCTGGGGATTTAGCTCAGTGGCACAGCACCTGCCTGGCAAGAGCAAGGTCGTGAGTTCGATTCCTGGTACCAGGAAAATAAATAAATAAATAAATAAACTGCCTCAATTCACCAATCAACAGCTGCAAATTGGCAGAGTGCATCAAGAAACAAAATCCAACAATATGTTGTATACAAGAAACACATTTAATTTAAAAAGAAATTCATAGACTTAAAGTCAAAGGATGTAAAAAAATACTCCACATGACAGGAACCCAGAAAAAAGCAGAGGTAGCTATTCTGGTTGCAGACAATGTGAACTTAAAACCAAGAATGATCAAAAGAAATAAAGAAGGTCACTACATACTTCTTAGAGGAAAATTAGAAGAGGAAAAGAAAACAATCATAAACATATATGCATCAAATACAGGAGCACTCAACTAAATAAGACAAATTTTAACAGACAAGAAAAATGAAATAAGCAGTAACACAGTCACAACAGGGGACTTTAACATCCCATTGTCACAAAGAGACAGATCAATTAGACAAAAAATCAGCAAAGCAATAACAGAACTAAACCAAACTCATGAACAAATGGACGTAATAGACCTTTACAGAGTGTTCCACTCAACAGCATCAGAATACACATTCTTCTCAGCTGCACATGGGACATTCTCCAAAACAGACCATACACAGGCCCATAGAATATGCTTAAGTAAATGCAAAGGGATTGAAATCAACCCACGCCTACTATCAGACAACAGGGCAATGACATTGGAAATTATTGACAAAGGAAATTGCAAAAACTCTATGAACATATGGAAATTAAATAACACCCTCTTGAGTAACTAATGGGTCACAGATAAAATTAAAGAAGAAATTAAACAATATTTATAATCAAACAAAAATGCACATGCAACTTATTGGAACCTGTGGGATGCAAAGAAAGTCCTCAGAAGGGAATTTATAGTGGTGAATTCCCACATCAGGAAAACAACCTTATGCTGCACCACAAGTTTCTAGAAAAAGAACAAGTCAAGCCCAAAGCTCAAAGAAAGGAGGAAACTATAAATATCAGAGCAGAAATTAACACAATTGAGACTATGAAAACAATACAAAGAATTAATGAATTGAAGAGTTGATTCTTTGAAAGAATAAATAAAATTGATAAGCCCCCAGCCAACCTTATCAAAAAACAAAAGAAAAAACTCAAAATTCATGCAATAAGCAATGAAAGGGATGAAATCACTACAGATCCTGTAGACATTCAGAAGATCATCAATACCTACTTCAAAAATCTTTACTCTCATAGGATGGAAAACATAGAGGAAATGGACAGATTCCTAGACATCTCAATTATCAAAGCTGAATCAAGAAGATATAAAAATCCTGAATAACTCAATATCAGCCAATGAAATTGAAAATGTAATAAAAAAAACTTACCAACAAAGAAAAGCCCAGGACCTTACAGATTCACAGCTGAATTCTACAAGAAATTTAGAGAGGATTTAATGCCAATTCTTCTCAAACTCTTTAATGAAATTGAAAGGGAAGGAGTTCCCACCAGCTCATTCCTGGAAGCAAGTATTACCCTCATGATAACACCGGAGAAAGACTCAGCCCAAAAAAGAGAACTATAGGCCAATCTCCCTAGTGAACATACATGCAAAACTTCTCGATAAAATACTAGCAAACAGAATGCAGCAAATCATCAAGAAGATTATACATCATGACTAAGTGGGAATCATCCTAGGAATGCAGGGATGGTTCAATATATGCAAATCAATTAATGTAATATACCATATCAACAGAGCCAAAGATAAAAATCACATGATCATCTCAATAGATGCAGAAAAAGATTTTTATAAAGCCCAACACTTTCATGCATGATAAAAACCCTACAGAAAATAGGAATAGATGGTCTTTACCTCAATCTGATCAAAGCCATCTATGACAAACCAACAGCCAACATCGTGCTAAATGGACAAAACCAGAAAGCTTTCTCTTTAAAATCAAGAACAAAAGAAGGATATATACTTCACTACTATTGTCACCACTCCTATTCAATATAGTACTGGAAATATCAGCCAGAGCAATTAGACAAGAGAGTGAAATAAAAGGAATAAGGATTGGAAAGGAAGAAGTGAAATTATCATTTTTTGCTGATGAGATGATACTGTACATAGAAGACCCCAACAACTCCACCAAGAGGTTTATAGATTTAACAACCAAATTCAGAGCATAATTGGATACAAAGGCAACACTCAAAAATCAATAGCATTGCTATACACAAACAACAAACACACTGAGAGAGAAACTAGGGAAACCACACCTTTCACAATAGCATTCAAAAAAAATGAAATACTTAGAAATCAATCTAACAAAGGAAATAAAAGATCTACACAGTGAAAATTACAGTACTCTGAAAGAAGAGATCAAGAAGTATTTCAGAATAGAAAGATATTCCTTGCTCATGGATATGAAAAACCAACACTGTGAAAATTGCCATACTCCCAAAATTGTTGTACAGATTCAATGCTATCCCAATTAAAATACCAGTAGTATACCTCACAGATCTAGAGGAAACATCTCTAAAATTCATCTGGAACCAGAAGAGGTCTAGAATAGCAAAAGTAATCCCAGGCAACAAAGACAAGTTAGGTGGCATCGCAATCCCTGACTTGAAATTATACTACAAAGATACTGTGATAAAATCAGCATTGTACTGGCAAAAAAACAGACCTGAGGATCAATGGAACAGAGTAGAAGATGCAGCCACAACCACAAACACACTCAGCCACCTTATCTTTGACAAAGGGGCCAAACATGTTCACTGGAAGAAAGACAGCCTCTTTAATAAATGGTGCTAGAAAAACTGGTTTTCTACATGATGAAGACTAAAGTTAGAATCGTGTGTATCACCATGCAGTAATCTAAAATCAAAATGGATCCAAGATCTAAATATTAAAACTCAAGCACTAAATCTACTGGAGGAGAAAGTAGGTAGAAATCTTGAAGACATAGGGGTAGGCAGAGAGTTCATGGGCAAAAACCAAACTGCATGGGAAATACTTCAAAGAATCAACTGGGATCTCATCTTCTTGAAAAGTTTCTGCACATCAAAAGAAATCACCAACAGAGAAAAAAGAAAACTCATTAATTGGGAAAAAAATTTAGCCATCTGTCCCTCAGACAAAGGACTTCTATCTAGAACATATAAAGAATTTTTAAAAATCAGGCCCTCAAAATTCAAAGACCCAATTCAAAAATTGGCATCTGAGATGAATACACACTTCTCAGAGGAAGAAATACAAATGGCAAATAAATATATGAAAAAAAATGTTCAACATCATTGGTCATTTGAGAAAGGCAAATTAAAACAGTGCTGAGATTCCATCTCATCCTAGAAAGAATGGCTATCATCAAGAAATCAACCAATATCAAATGCTAGAGGGGCTGTGGGGAAAAAGGTACCCTTCCCCACTGTTAGTGGGAGTGTAAACTGGTGAAACCACTGTGGAAATCAGTGTGGTGATTCCTCAAAAACCTAAAATTAGAGGTCCCATTCAACCCAGCTATTCCTCTTCTGGATATTTTTCCAGAAGAACTGAAAACATCATACCACAGCAATATACGTGCACCTATGTTTAAAGCAGCACAATTTGTAATGGCTAAATCTTGGAAACAACCCAAATGTCCATCAACTAAGGAACAGATAAAAAAGATGTGGTATTTTTATACCAATGAAGTATTACTCAGCTATAAAAAGAGATAAACTCCAGGCTTTATAGGTAAGTGGATACAACTAGAGACCATATTTCTAAGTGAAATAAATCAGCCCTGCATGTGTAAACATCATATTGTCCCACTAGTGTAAGAACCTGAAAGAGTAAATAAAATCTGAAAGGTACAATAGATACTGTGAAAGAGAAAGAAACTGCTCAAAGAGAAGGAACCACTGGGTTGAGGGAGAGGAGAAAAGAAAGGAAGAAAGGAAGAAAGGAAGAAAGGAAGAAAGGAAGAAAG